AAAGAGACATCTTCTCCTCCCCCCCCCCCCCCGCCACTCTCTCTCTCTCTCTTTTAAACATGGCTTGGTAGAATAGGCAAACCAAATCGACAGAAAGCCAGGCAAAAAATATATTTAAAAAATCGTCCCCCAGTGCCTGCCACTCAGCCATCGGAAATAAAATCAAACACTAAAAAAGGCATGAAATGAAACTCTTAGTTTTCTTTCGTTTTTGTTCTCTTGTCTTTTTACCTTTTGCCCCCGATAAGAAACAAAACCCAAAAGATGGCTAAAGGCGCGCTGCGGGTTTCGCTGGAGATTTCTCTGCCGGTGAGAGGGGACATGGGCAAATCACTGCTGGATCCAGCGCCGACACCGTACCGCATCTGTGGTCCCCATCGCAGCCAAGACAGCATGAGTATGTACAAAGTGGGGGCAGCATAATAATAAATATCTGTGTGTCTCTTCCAGGGTTTGATATTCCTGCTCCAAACCAAAACAGTTTCCAAGCCTCTTGCCTTTGCAGACTCTCGCTTGACTCGGTAAGTGGAAAGTTTCGCTTTAAAGTTCGCTCGTGGCGGGGATTTGCCATGCGCTCGCATGGGATTTTTTTCTTGTTGGCTATTGTTTGCTTTAGGTTTTTTTGCCTTTTTTTTTTTTTTCGGGTGGGTTGTTTTTAAACCCCGATTTGGAAACTTTTCCCTCGAAAACTTGTGGTTCTGAGCGCAGGGAGAGATCAGGGTCGGGCTTGCTCCAGCTGCTGATGCTGACTCCTGATTGCAAACCTGCTGACGTGCACCGGGATGGGTACCACGATCTTAGGGTTTCGGGAGGGCTCCCCTGTCTTGGAGTTGGCATTGCCCGCCTTGACCCGTTTCCATTTAGCCCGTCTGTTCTGGAACCAGATTTTCACCTGCACCTCGCTGAGTTTGAGGGCGTGAGCGATCTGGGACCTCTCCGTCAGGGACAGGTACTTTTTGCAGTGAAACTCCTTTTCCAGCTCCAGCAGCTGCTCACTGGTGAAGGCTGTTCGCCTCCGCCGGTTTTTGCCCGTGGATGTGGTGTTGGTGGAATTGGGGGGGTTTTGGGGGTTTTCCTCCAGCGCATTGCCAGAGTCCTCTTCCTTGTGAGCCGCCTGGCCGGGAATGTTGTCATCCGAGCTATAGTCTAGATCGCTGTCCATGGAGAAACTTTCCTCCTTGCCTTTCGCGTCCTCTTCTGCTTTGGGGTCCTCCTTCCCCTGGCCCCGGAGAGCCCCGGCTGGAAGCGAAGCAGAGGCCTTTCATTAATGTTTAGTACCCTCCGTCCCGCGGCCACAGCACCCCCCCGACCCGCAGGGCCATCACCCGAAAATCGTTGGGTTTGGGGTTGGGTTTTTTCCGCGTGTCTTTCGGTTGGGTTGATTTTATTATTATTTTTTCAAGCGGCGGGGGCTCGAAACCTCCCTTCTCCTCCTCCCTTCTCCTCGGCCTTGCGGCCACCGGACCCCCGGGGGCCAGCCCTGCCTCCTCCCGGGGGGCCCCCGTCCCCGGGGCCGCCCCGTCCCCCGACCCCCTCCCAGCCCGCCCCGCCGGGGGGTGATGCGCGGAGCGGGCACCGGGACCCCGCTCCCCCCCGACGTCTCCGGCGCTCACTCCGCGAAGGAGGCCCGGCC